TCTTTAATGGCCAGAGATGTTGAATATTTTTTCCAGTATTTATTGGCCATTTGTATTTCTTCTAAGAAGTATCTATTCATTTCAGTTGCCTGTTTTTGATAGGTCTTTAATTTTGAGGGCATCTAACTATTTTGTTGTGTATTCTAGTTACTAGTCTTTTGTTTGAGATGGCTGGCAGTTGTTTTCCAAGAAGCACATTGTCTCTTCACTCTGTTGGTTGTTTCCTTTACTGTGCAGAAGCTTTCTAATTTGATATTATCCCATGTGTTGCTTCTCGGTGTTACCTATTGTGCAATTCAGAAAGTCCTTACTACACTTGTGACTTCAAGTCTTTCACCTATTTTGTCTTCAGCAGATTAAATGTTCTGTTTTAGTATTTAGATGTTTGACATATTTTGATTTTAGTTTAGTACCTGGTGGGAGAATGGGTCAAGTTTCAGTCTTCTGCATGTGGGGAGCCAGTGCCCCCAGCCCCATTTGTTAAAGAGACTGGGTTTTCTCCAGCATAAGTTTTTGGCTCCTGTGTCAATAATCAGTAGATGAATGTGCTTGGAGTTTTTCTGCATCCTGTCTTCTGTTCCTCATGTCTGTTTTCTGTTTGTTTGTTTTGTTTGTTTTTGCCATTACCGTGCTATTTTTATCACTGTAGCTTTGAAGTCTAGAATTGTAACTCCTTCTGTCCATCTCTTGTTGCCCAAGAATACTTTTGCTATTCTAGATCTCTTCCATTTTAATGTGTATTTTAGGCTTGTTTTCTCTAGTTTTGTGAGGAACACTCCTGGTATTTGATTGAGATTGTGTCAAATCCATATACCAATTTTGAAAATTTGGCCAGTTTGACTATATGTATTCTTCTTATCTAGGAAGAGGAGATATCTATTACTTTCTGGTGTCCTCTTTGATCTTTTTTTCAGGGTACTATAAGTTTCATTGTAGAGCTCTTTCACTTCCTTGGATAGGTTAATTCCTAGGAACTTACTTTTTCTTGATGTTATTGTGAAAGATATCACTTCCCTTATTTATTTATTTAGCTTATTATTTATGTACAAGGATGCTATTAATTTTGTGTGTTGATATTTGTCTCCTGCTGAACCACTGAATTTGGTATTCAGTTTTTTGATGGAATTTTTTATGTCTTCTTTGTAGAGGATCACGTTATCTACAAATTATGAGAATTTGACTTTTTTCCTTTCCTATACATATCTCTTTTATTTCTTTTTCTTGCCTGATTGCTTCAGATAATCTTTCAAACCTATATTGAAAAGTAGTAGTGACAGAGAATATTTTTGTCTTGCTCCTGATTTTAGAAAGAAAGCGTTCAGTTTATTCACATTTAATATGAGGTTGACTAAAGTCACACTTGGCTTTAGTCATTTATAAAAAAAGTATCTCACATATATTCAATTGATATAATGTTGCAACATTGTGAAAGTTAGAGTATGAGAAAAATAGATTAAGCATTAATGATAGAGTGTACAGAAAATACATTTCTGTATATCTATGTAACGGAAAGCTAGGTGGCCATCAAAAATATATGAAATGTGAAGCCAAATAATGAAAAAAATGAGGCAATTTTACATGTACTGTTATGAAACACTTTCCAAGATATATTGTTAGGTGAAAAAAAGAAATGAAGACAATGTGGGAAGAGCTCTACCCAGAATAGAACACATTTCCATGCACAGCATAGTTCTGTATCGGTTCAGACGAAAACTGAAGATAGCAATCACTGTGATGAAGAGGTGGCTTTGCGACCAGTATGAGTAACAATTTTCACCGAGTAACACTTATTCCTTTTTAATTTTTAACCATGTGCATATATTATCTTTACAAAAATAAATATTAATTTAAAATAAAGTAAAATATTACAAAGGAAGTTTGCTGGCTTCTGCTCTAGCAGACTTGTTCACATGACAATCCTGTGGATCCAAAAGAAAGAGTAGAAACACTAAGGTTCCTGGGCCCTAACTTGAAACTGGTACTGTCAGTTCTGCCACACTCTGGCAGCCAAAGCAAATTAGAAGGCCAACCCAGATCTGCAGAGAGGAGAGGAGAATCCATGTTTTGATGGGAGAAGCAAAAAGTGATATTTCATAGGGTATAGGTTCAGAGAGTAGAAGAGGATTCTTATCATTTTTAACAGTCTGTTCTGATGGATCATGTAGGAATTGCCCTCAGGTCAAAAGAATTACGGTGGACTACAAGGATATATTTAAGTATCTCATTAGGAAACTGTCTTAGTTACTTTTTACTTGTTGCTGAGACAAAATACCTGATGCCCAAAGTTGGGAAAGGAAGGTTTAGTTCTTACGGTTTTTGGAGGTTTCAGTCCATACTTAATTTGGCTCCATCTAGGCCAGCATGGCAGGGCCACAGTTCCTGGTGGCTGCAAGGTAGAAACCAGCATAAGAGAGAGAGACACGCCTTCTTCCACCTGTTACATCGTATGCTGGCTCCACCTTAGGTGGATGTAGCACTGACACCATCAATCCAAGCTAGACAATGAACCAATCACAAATGCACAATGCAAACGCATGAGGCCAGGGGGCCACCAACATAAACCATGACAGAAGCCCATGAAAACCATGTGAATGACTGTGAGTCACAAATGCCCAGTGAAAAACTCCAGGTAGATTTTTAGGAAAAAAGACATGTCCACCATCATTTTGCAAGAGATTATTTTTAATTCTCTTTAGTTATGAATATAAAAAAAAAGTTGATGGCTCACCACAAAAATTTAGGAGACAATTGTAGGCTTGAATATTCCAATTCTTGATTCATGCTCCTGAAAGTATATAGAACCAAGGTCAAAAAAATTGTTGAACTCATCCCAGTGGCTAGACAAATGGGGACAATGGGTCCAAATGCACAATGGTTCCAGTGCAATAAGCATTTGGTCCTAGTCCAGTTGACATTCCACACAATGATTCTGGAACCCATGGTCTTTTCATCTGCAGCTTTCCCATCCCTAAGATAGGTTTTCATCCTGCCAACAGAAAAGGAAAAACAATGTGGAGGAGGCTCATAGTCTTAGGTCTTGGTTAAGAAAATGATGCGTAGTATGTCTTATCTATTGAGGATAACTCATTAGCTGATTGACCTAACTGCACAGGCGGCTACAACACGTGTCTAGCAATGTACCTAGAAAGAAGAGAAACAAACAGCTTAGAATTAGCAGACTCCACTTTGTAATCTTCAAATATTCATTTGCATCCTTCTTTTCACATGTAGAACACATGCATGCAGATTCCTCCACAAAGAGACCACCCCAAGTGTCCTAGTTACTGGTTGTAATCAAAATGTAAGATCTTTGGATAAATCTGTCTTGATTGTAAGGTGAGAGTATAGTCTTCTGAGTTCTGAGAGAAAGAGAGAGAGAGAGAGAGAAACAGAGACAGAGAAGGAGAAGAAAGAGAAAGGGGGGGAGAGAGAAGGAGAGATGGATGGACAGAGGGGTGCAGGGAGAGAGAGAAGGAAGAAGAGAGAGACAGAATGCAAAGAGAATATACAGTGATAAAACTGGGCAGGATAAATGCCACAAAAATCCCATTCAAAAAAAGGATAAATGAGAAATGCACAGTATTCACTGCAACAATAAATTAGTACTGGGAAGGTAATTTTCAGCTAAGGAATTGTGGTATGTGACCCTGAAACTGTAGTCTGGAAAGATTTCTGCTACCCTTTGTTTTGAAAGATTATTAGTCCATTATCCTCTGAGACCATCTGAAATAGCCCATTGCATAATATTACCTGCTTCAGGTGGTAAGAGGACTTGAATTATTCATAGTCTGCTTCCTGCTCCATATATACTTGTAGGCCCAAATATAATGTTAAGGCCTAAATAGTCAAGGAATTTGAAGATTAATATCTAGGTTTCTTTGGTAATACAGCCCCCCAATTTGGTAGCCACCTGGCCAATTTCCACATAGCCAGTGTCATGTGTCAGTGATCACACCTAAAGTCTTTTTCTAAACATAGATCTCTAGGTTCCCTTCTTCTTTTCCTAAGTCCTAAAAAGACAAGGATTCTATCTTGAGCCATCACTGTAGCCACTTGAGCCTCAGAATCCAGAACCTAGTATTTACTTGACACAAACTGAGAAATTCATTGGAATGTGAGACAGTAGACTTTGGATTTCATTCCAGCTCTTAGGCTATCTGGCTGGTAATTTGTGAAGGTCATTTTCTTTAATTCTGGATTATTTTTGTATTTTGTTGGATTTTGCAGTTTTGTGGCTGACATAAATTCTTACATTTATTTTCACTTTTATAATTTTTCTCTCAATCCTTAGATAAGAGGAAAGGACTAATGTTGATGTATATAGTTCCATGAGAAGCTGCAGAGACTTTTAAGAAACACTCCAAACTACAATTACTTTGTTAGCAATGGGATTTGCTAAACGAAGCAATTGGCATCCAACCACATGTGGTCCACAAAGAGACCACCCCAAGTGTGGGACTCCACTTAATGCCGTGGTGTTCTGAACACGGCCTGTTGTAGAGAGGTAATATATTTGAGAAGCCTATAGTTGCTAATGCATCATTTGGAATGCATCAGTGAACATGTATTTTTTGAAATTTGGTTTTTGTAATGATCGTCATAACATGTATTATAGCACAAAATATCTAAGAAGCTGAAGCTGTGCCGTATAGAAAAGAGACTCTAGGATGGTGATCTCAGCTTTGTTGCTTATTAGAGACACACAGAGAGGTGTTTAAAAATACCAGTGGCTGGGCCCACTCCCAGAGATGCTGATATAAATGTTATGTTAAAACCTTAGAAGCTTTCTTTTCAGTTCCTGTACTACAGCCAAGAAAAATACCCCACCTATATTGACAGGCTTTCTACAGTTTTTTGTTTGGAACAGTCATGGCCTTCCTTGTTCACATTTTGGCATGGCAGTTGTTTGCTTTGTGAGGAGGGTCAGGATGGGCAGTAAGGGTGCCTTTAAATGAAACTCTGTGACAGCCAAAGCTATCACACTGCCCTTTCCTCGACAGCACATCATGCTGGTGCAGCGTCAGATGTCTGTGATAGAGGAGGACCTGGAAGAATTCCAGCTGGCCCTGAAGCACTACGTGGAGAGTGCTTCCGCCCAAAGTGGGTGCTTGCGGTGAGTGCTCCTGGCAGGATTCAGCCCTGTGGGTCCCACTTTAAATGAGGGAGGGATGGGAAGCAGGCATCTGAGAATCCTCGGGATAAATTATGCTGACCAATGTAGCTCTGGGCCACACCTTTTGCAGAGTTTGAGTGTTTATTGTCTGATCCTTGGATCCTAAGATAATTTTCTAAGGTGGAGACCCAAGGAAAAATAAAATGAAAAATAATTTGCAAAACAGGAGCTGCAGGTAGACTGAAATTCCCCCTTTGGTATCCAGGCAGCCAGCATTCATTTAAAATCATGTCTAGAGATGATAGGAGGCCTTGACTCCATCCAGCCTTGATTTCCAGATACCCCATGGCCTGATGAGCACTGTCCCATTATGAAATTACCCGAGGTCTCTAAAGTCGTAATTTCAGATCTCCTTTATTTAATTAAAGCAGTAGTAGCTCTTCCCATGGGCACCACTCAGCTCAGGCTTCTATTATCTGAGACTACAAAAATGTACTATGTCTCTTGTGAAGTTTTTTTACTCCAACCAGTCTAATAACTCCTAGAATAACTTCCCAGAAATAATTGCAGAAGTGTCCTAACCAGGACCTGCAGTGACTCTAGTGAGTGTCTTACCAATACTAGATATTTGTTCTGATCCTATATTCACTCTGCCTGCAGACCCCCAAATCCATATTATTACTACTGTCTGTTCCCCTTAACTAGACACTCTGCCTTTTGCACAGCTGTCAGTGGATGATTCCCTCTTACTGTACTTCAGACCTGGCAAATTCCCTCTCTGAGACATACACACCCAGCTGCAGGTCTCTGTCAATTCTAGAGCCCAACCCCAAATTCATCTGCATTCAAAAAATTTTCAGAGCTGTCACTGGCCAGTGTGGAACCTTGCTTTAGTATACATGGAAATTAAAACTGAGGCACCAATTTGCAGGAAAATGCTTTCATTAGAAAGTAAGGCTGGGCATGGTGGTGCACCTTCAGCTTTCAGGAGGCCAAAGCAGGAGGATTATCATGAGTTCAAGGCCAGTCTGGCTACCTAGGGAGATCCTGCGACAAAAAACAAAACAAAACATAATGTACCTTACTTTACCTTGAGGAGCTTAGAAAGGTCAGGCAAGCAAAAGAGAATGAAAGTTTAGAAAAGGACTCCAGCTTGAGCTGCCAGGAACACACTCTTATGAAGGGGATCCGACTGGCCCACCCACTGAAATGGGAGGCAGTTTTTAAGGATTAGCTGAGGTGGCCCAGGGTCCCACTTGATCACCACTCACTCCTGGTTTTATAGCTCAGGAATTTCCTTGTCTTGAGGGGTACTTGTGTTCCCATGAAATGGTTGCCTCTGTGGTGGTCTCAGTCAGGTAGGGCTCTGCTTCTCCAGGAATCCAGGGGGTCAGTCACATGGTTAAAACAAAGGCTGGAGGCCTCTGAAGTTAGCTAAACGCTCCTGTAAATCCCTTCAACAAAGACAATATTACATAAATTCAGTGCTAATCACCTTTATTTTGCCAACTTTTAAACAGACACTTTTGAGATGATTAACAAACCTGTATGCAGAGCTGAGAAGGGATTTGAGCCAAAGCTTTCAGGTAACAAAGGATATAAAGTGAAGATCATGAGTTGGTTTGCTTCAATTACATACTGAGCATCTGGAGGCCCAAGTGAAGGATCACATTTTTTAGCAAAAACTGCTTTTAAATTCCTGACTGCCTTAGAATAAAAACACAAATTACACTTTTCATAAGCAACAAGCTCAGAATCCTGTCCATCACCCATCCCGATAGTAGACTGTGACTATGTCACAACCAAATCCACCCTTATTCTGCGAGGTTGTTTAAACTGCATTTCCTAATGATCTTCAAATACTGCTTTGGGACAGCTCTTTAACAGATGTGCATTTGTGTTGGGGCGCATCTGTGTGCACACATAAACACAGACTTAGTCTCTGAGCACTTCGCTCTTCTCAGTGACTAATTATACTTTCTGTATACTACAGCAGTACATTATTCCAGCTAAGGGGCTGGAACCTCTCATCCAGGGGAGAAGATGAAACATGAGCCAGGGCCACTGCTGGTCAGCTTCCTCCCATGAGTGTGAGCGTTTGCTCAGCACCGTCCCTGGCGTACATCTTCTCCACGGTGCCTCTGTGCCAGGAACACAGAAGCTGTTGTGCTGGCATTATCCGTGTTCTACTTCCCATCAGCTCAGAGGGGCACAAATCAAAGTCCATTGCAGTTCTTTTAGCTAAGTAACTCCAGGATTTTCCAAAGCAAGACTATACACAGTTTTTTAAAGCCCACTCATTTAAAAATAAAATTGAATATTTGGAAAATGCAAACGAGGCTTATTTATACCTTCTGCAGTGTAAACTGTAGGAAGAAGAGCTCCGTAAACTGTTTTTTGCCTAGTGAGGCCCCAAAGATGATAAAGTCTGTTTCCGGGATTAGGGGATTTACATGTATAAAGAGACAGAGAAGTGTATTTTTCAAGGGTCAGAAGCCCTGCTGCAGTGGGCAATGTGCTCCAAAACCTAAAGCAGCCCCAGAGGGAAGGACGCAGGCTGGCGGAGAGGAAGAGAGCAGATGGATCCAAGCTGTCTGCTACCAACTCTGTCCTCTCGAGTCCGTGAAGAACGGCTCCAGCAGCTCCTGCTGAAGTGGAGGGAAGGAGAGTCTCCTTGTTCTGTAAGATAAATGAGCCCCTCTCAGCCTCTCCTGTCCTTTACAAGACTGTTTCTTAATGGTTCTTTGTTCACGTCTTACTGCTGAGTCCTCAGTTAGTTTCTTTTATAGAGCAGAGAGTTTCTCACACAGAAGGTGCATCCGACATTCACCACACACAGATGGGAGCTATGTGGAACAGATGTTGCGCCAGTGCATCTAAGTTCGACTTTTCAGATGTACAATTAATCAAATGCAGTTCTGTAGATCAGTGGATGAATGGTCAAAGTTTGCTTTGGCACACCCAGCACAGTCACTGAGCACTTTGCTCATAGCCTGGGGATTGTCAGGCTTTAGCAGTTACTCCCATGATGGCTAGCTTTGCATCATCATGTGTAGACCCTGACTGCCACCATAAAATAAAATAGTAACTTGTTGAGGATTTACAAAATCTATTTTTCATCCATTTTCTTAGTCTTCCCAACAACCGTTAAGAGGCACAAATTATGTCCAGTTTAAAAGGAAACAGGCTTGGGTGTGCTACACAACTCGTACTTCATTTATCTGATTCCAAAACCCACACTGATTCTTTCTTGTCAATATCTGGTCATCCTAGGGCCAGGGATGTAGCTCAGTGGCACAGCACCTGTCTGGCAAGTGCAATGCCCTGAGTTTGATTGCTGGCACCAAACAAAAAATTTTTGGTTATTCTTGAACTAGAACTCCCTAGACTTTTTGTGGTTAACCATGGGTAGAATGAACAAAATTTTTCCTGCCTTGATTATTACCAGACAGTCTTGCTTTCTTAAACTCAGACACTAAATTACAGAAGTTTTTACCTTGTAAGTTATTTGATTAGAGAGACTCAGATTTTTTTTTCCAGTATGGGGGATTGAACCAAGGGTCTTTGCAATATATATATATATGTATGTATATATATGTATATGTATCAGTAGATATATATCACTAGGTATATATCTGTGTATCAGTAGATATATGCCTTCAGTACCTTTTCATTTTTTAAATTTTGAGACAGGGTTTCCCTAAGTTGCCAAGTTTTCCAGGCTAGGTTCCAATTTATGACTGCTTGTCTCAACCTCCCAGAATTCTGGTATTATAGTCACCATACCCAGCTAAGACTCAGAATTTTGAGGACTCACAGAGCCTACAGTATACAGTTTTTTTTTTTAAATTAAGGTAGTAAAAAATTTAAGTGATAATTTGTGTGAACCAGTGTATCTCTCACAGACACACACACATACACACACATGCACACACAATTTCATACTTTAAAAAAATAAATTTATTATTTACATTAACTTATAAATATATTGCTTATAATTTTGGAGATTGGGAAATCCAAGGCCAAGGTACCAGCAGATTAAATTTATATGGAGGAATTCCTCCTCATAGATGGTCCACCTCTTAAAACCATCATGTTGGGGGTTAGGCATCAATGTAAGAATTTTTGATGACATATAATTTCAGATCATAGCTACCCCTAATACTTAGTATATATTTCCATGATTGGTAATTCTTTGTACACTTATTGCATAATTATGAAGGCTTGTTAATCCATTTGACATAAGGAGGAGCTAACTGAATAAATGTGGTATACACAGTGCTTTCAGAACCATGGTTGACATGAGGAAGAATGGTTTTTGCTTTCAAAAATCTTAGAATTTGGGGCTGGGGATTTAGCTCAGCGGCATAAGCGCCTGCCTTGTAAGCAGGCAGTCATGAGTTCGATCCCTGGTACCAATAAAAAAAAGGAAAAAGGCAAAAAAAAAATCTTAGAATTTAATTGTGGGAAGAAGACACTGATATTTGAAGAGAGTAAGCTATTAAAGCCATATCTCAGCCTAAAATTTCACAGCTATTAAGATGATTTCTGAAATCACTTCTAGCTATGAAATTCTAGAAGCTGAATGTGTTCAAAACTCCATTTCAAGGGTGTAGGAAACATAAACGTGGGTTATACTGTAAGCAATAGCCCTCATATTTCCTAAAGAATTGCAGAGTATGGTGGCACAAACCTGCATTTCTTACACGCAGGTGACTGAGACAGGAGGATCACCTTGAGTTTGAGGCAAGCCTGAACTATGTAGTCAACCCTGACTCAATTAAAAAAATCCTAATGCGAGGGGGCATTGACTCATTAATCAGAAATAAGTATTTAAATAGATAAACATTTGGACAGAGTTTGGTGTGGGAAAACGTGAGAACTGTCCCTCCTTTTGTGCCCTTTCTTCACTGGTTAGGCCCCGTGAGTTAAGGCAGGACACACAGAAGGAAAGCAGAAGCCAAAAGTAAGAAGCAGAGTCCTGTCCAATTTGCACTGAACTCGTATCCCCCATTCCACAGATGAGGAAATGAAAGTTGGGTAAGGGGCCCTAAGTGACACAAAGTGCATATATGTACTGTACAGTATGAGACAGTATACATATGCATATTAATTGGCTGATCATTTATGAGATCTTATAGAATCCACGAACTCCTTGGGATGAGACCATCACAAAGTCTCTTTTGGTCAATTCTTACGATCCTAACAAAAGACAAAAGTTTGGCTGGGGATACAGATCAGCGGCACAGCACCTTCCTAGCAACCACAAGGTCGTGAGTCCAATCCCTGATACCAAAAAAGAAAAAAAATTGAATAATAATATGTGCTGCATCATGTCTTAATGAACCAAATTAAAGAACTACATAAAACACTAAACTATAGGCAAAGAACTAAAGAAACATGTATTAAAGTTCCTGTAGATTCTTACTGCCACCTGCTGGTCATACTTAGGTAAACTCCAAATCTACAATAATCTGCAATAGTATTTTAAATTTAGTAAAATCTTTGTTATTAACTCAAAAATCCCGATTTCTCTAACCTTTTTTTTTTTATCAAATACCAATATTCTATTTAACAGTTGGATGAAAATCTTTCAGAATTCAGTTAAGGCATCTTTGTCTCCCTGCCTTCCCTGTTTATGAACATGTCCCCTCTTCCCGTTTGCCAACATGGATTTGGACTTTCTTCATCTCTCAGCTAAGCTCCTTGTGTGCCTGCCTACTTTTCCTGTCTGCTCTGTGTGACTGTTATCTGCTCATACCCCACACAGCCCTCAGCAGGGTCCTTTAAAACTCGCTCTACATGGCACATTCCCTGTTTAAATCCTCTGAGGACGCCTTGTTGCTATAGGATTAAATCCATAGACTTCATCTCAGCTTATATTTTTGACCAGTCTTATTTCCTCATTCCTCCAAAATATGGGCTTTTAGGCATCTCCGGATGATCAAAGAACTAGAAGGGACAAACTGGAAGAGGAACTTTTAAAAACAGTAATTGCCAGAATTTGAACTCTCAAATTCGATCCAAAGTGGTGTGAGAGGTGTGTTTGTGTGTGCGCGTAAAAGAGAAAGAGAACCTTTATGTACCAACAAACTAAGAGTCAGTTTGCAGAGCAGTGGTACCCAGAAGGCTGGCCCAGAAGGTGTCCTGCACAAGTGGAGAAAGGTTGGGAACTTGACACGAGCCGTGGTGGTTGACAGGACCAATTCATGGAGTTTGAGGTGGCACAGATTCTCATTTTTATGAACTCTGGTATAATACACTCAATAAATCAAATAAAACTTACAAAAGTTGTATTTATGACATCTAGTGTATTGTGAGACTGTGCAAGCCAGAAAACAAAACAAAAAAATACTGTGCCAGACAGACAGACAGACAGACATTCTGTGGGTAGATAAGCTTCTCATCATCTTCATTTGTAAAGCTGATTACAAAAATTGGTTCCTCCCTTATTTTCCACTGGCTAATCAGGCCTTTTCTTTTTCTTTTCAGTATTTCAATACAGAAGCTTTCAAATGAACCTCGCTACATAATTTATGAATTCTGGGAGAACAGCAGTGTGTGGAATAGGTAAGTTATGAGCAATGCTGATTTGTTTTCGTGAAACCAGGAAAAGTGCGACATAGATGATGAAATTTTCAGGCTTGTAGGAAACATTCCATTTTATTTATTTCACCCTAAAACGTGTCTTTCCCATTACTCTGAATCCCATTTTTGAGACAGGGTCTCACTATGTGGTTTCAGGCTGGCCTTGAGCTTGTGGCTAACTTCGTGCCTCTGTCTGCCAAGTCCTGAGACTACAGGCATGTGCTATCACACCTGGCTGCTGAGTCTCGCAGCTTATGAGTTTATTTTACGGTTTAGAAGTCATTTCCCTCTTGAAGCACAGATACATTGGGTATTGATTCACTTGAGTTAAGAGCTTTTTATTGATACTTTCAAACAAGTACAATTAGATACAGATCATGGATGTCTAAGGAACTTGAAAGTGGTGAGGGTGTAGAGCTTTATAAGCTTAATGGTTACTATTTTTAAATTAAAACTACATATAATGGCTAAGATCTTCATAACTTTTCTATATGTCTCTACACACTATAAATAAAGGCAAAATTCAGAACACTGGCAAAAATAAAAGCAAGGTCAGTTGTGAAATTTAGAAAATGATTAACAACAAATAAATATATAAGTAAAAAACTGACAGGAAGGAAATTTTTTGATATTTTGAGGTTATTCAAGCAGTTCCACATGGCTTTAAGTAATACAGAAAATACAGCTCTTTAATCAAGGTTTGAGGGTATTAAATACAACAGTGGGAATGGAACACCTTAATTCAGTTGATACACATTTTACCTTAAAATGTCATTCTGTAGCTTTAATAAGGCACTTGGAGGGTTGAGGATCACAACTCAGTGCTAGGACACTTGCCCAGTGTCATGGGGCCCTAAATGCAATCCCCAAGTACAGTGTCCAGCACCAAAAATGAGAGGGGGGAACCTCATATAAAGATGAAGGCAAAATGACCCCAGATGTAGACTACAGCCTTAAAGACACCTAATCAACCTTAGGCTTCTTGGCCTGCATTTTAAGATACATGATTTCTATTTCATATTATTCTAAAGGAATGGAAAAATGGATAGTCCCTTTTATTGGTTATCTTATTTTCATCATTTCTTCTGAAATTCAAGTCTGCCTCCTATTTATTATCCTGTGTAGAATCAGTATTCCTATTTTAAAAGGCTTTTTTAATTTCTGATGACAATTGCTAAGTTTTTGAGTCTTTTTTAAAGTGAGATAACCATTAAAGCAAGTCTTTATACAGGCACTTAACACAGATCAACCAAAACCTTGCCATCTTGACTTAATCTCTTGTGTACTCTCCTTAGGTTGTAAATAAAAATGAATAACCTTAACTTGCAATAATTTACACAGCCACCTTCAGATGAACTATAGCAAGACTTTCCAGAGAAGTAATGTGGATTTCTTGGAAACTCCAGAGCTCACATCTACTATGCTAGTTCCTGGTAATTATTCTGGGTTCACCTTGCTCCTCTGTGTTTGTATCTGCGGTTTTTAAAAGCAGCATTTTCTTTCCCAATAAATATTATCAGTGATATCCTCTGTTTCTTTATATATCTAATAATTTGGATTTTGGGAAGAGAAAAAGAGATTTATTCTTTTGCCTTTAGCCCTTACTTGGCCCCATTTATATTCCTGGCTATGTTAAAATATATTATTGGAAGTTTGCTGGTTTGACTTGTACAAGTGAAACTGTAGTATTTCAAAACATCTTCAAACTCCTTACCATATTGAATTTACACTGAATACAATTTGAAATAAATGACTGGATGTTGACTACAATTATGTTAGACATATTTTCTTACAATAGCTGTTCAAATAATATTTATAACTAAAGGAAAGAAGAATGGAACAGGGTGTTGAAATAAAATTGTCCGGAAATCTGGTCTGACCAAAGGTTAAAATAACTGAAAACCAAAATACTTTTGTTCTTCTACCTATTCATTTACCAGTAAATATGTATTTTTACAGAGTATTAAAATGCACTTGACCCCAGAGTAAGTGATGTGCTATTTGAGCTGTACTTCTAAATAAGCATTGTGATGAAGGCTAAAAGGGTACAAAGTAAAAATGCAGCCCTTACATATAAAGTGCCATCTGTCCAGTTTGAAAGGAATATTGCAAACTAAATGTTTTCAGGGAAAAAACAGTTGCCATTCAAAACAATATGGATTTAGAGAAGTGGTCACTTCTTCCTAATCTATGGATGAGGTCTCAGATTCAAGGTTGAGTATGTTATAATGCAGGTATTTTAAGAGTAATCTGGAGTCACTGAAAATTTTAAGAAAAATGGCATGCTGTAATTAGTAGTAACTGACAGGAGGAACAAAGGCTGACATTCTGGAGCGAAGAGATTAACTAGGAAAAGCCAGGAAAGAAAAGTCCGGGAAGTAGGAGCTGGCCAAAGTTTGCGACTCTACTTGCTGATGCAGTTTTTAGGAGTCAACCACAGTGACATGACGGTTGAGCCACGGGTTTAGTAAGGAAGTATGTAAGAATAAAATAAGAAAGCCTAGGAAAACGCCTTTCTATAAAAGGTTGATAGTTGGACAAAAGCCTCATTTATTATTAAGGACACTGAGGGCCACTAACCACAAACCAGTGCAATTTATAAATATAAGATGACCAAAAATTGCATTTTTAATTTTATAAGAAAATGTAACAGAAAATATACAAATGAGTTTTATCAAATTTACTCAACACAATCAACTGGTTGAAGTGATACCTGCTTGAATGACACTGGGGGTAAACTGCTGGAGTAGTTAAGGAATCGAAGAGTATCAAAATAGGGAAATGCAAGATATAGCACTACTTGGGGGCACTAAGACTGCTACTCAAAAAGTTTTAATAAAGTTATAGAAATTTTAAACTACAGTAGATATTGACAGATCGGAGAACAAATAGATGAGGAAGTAAGTTCTAAAATTAAAGCCAGATGAGGGGAAAGGATGATCAAGTGTAAAAAATTTCAAGCTGGCTGACTTATGCCTAAGCCTGAGCTCCAGCTGTATATTTACTCTAACTCTTAGGGACATACTTGTCTGGCCCAGAGAATAGTGGTCTGGTAGAATTTCTCTGCTTTACAGCTCAAACTGAATCCTCAATTAAGAAGACAATGAATATGGTTGAAAATTTCTATTGGTTCACAATTTGACTCATGCAGCTTATATTAGCAGGCACCATAGCTTAAGGCAAGTTGCAGCTGATGGCAGTTAGCAGGTTAAGAAACACATGTCTGACACTGCTTTCCATCCGTTCACTCAAGAAGTTTTACTTAGCTCACAGTGTTCTAAATAGGGAGAAAGGGCCTAGAGTATAAATTCTATACATGCAACAGCCTGTATACACAGAATGCAGGAAAATGAGACTGATGTCTGTCGTATGTCCATTGATTTCCAATACCATTTTATTAAGCAGATTTGTGTATTTTTGTGTTTTATGGTTGTAAAGGTTAAAAAGGTCTAAAATGAAAAATGTTTTTAAAAAGCAGCTAGCGCATTTAGAAACACAGGATGAGTAGGTTTTTATTATTAATTCAGAAATTGATTTCTAATAAGATTGCTTTACCTAAGATACATCTCAAAAAATGAAGCAATTAAGCCAGACTGCATCAATATATAAAAATATAAATTAAGATATAGTCCTATAATTCTCAAATTAAAAAAAATAAGCCAGATGAAGCATAGTGGGATATAGCAGCTGAGGCCATTGGCCACCATGAACAAGAGGTGAGACAAGAGGTGAGAACTCCGTGTCTCCTTGGATAAGAGTATCTCCTTGGATAAGAGGCCTGTGTTTGTAAGAAAAGATGATACACAAGAAAGTTAAGTTTCTGGGAAGTATCCATGTACCTAAAAGTCTTGAGATTATCCTTCTTTATAGCTGAGTAGCTTTCAAGTGTATAAAAATACAGTATCTTTCTTATCCATTCTGTGGTTGATGGTTAAGTTACTATCGCTTTCTAAGTCTCCACTGCATATCTCTAGTATAAAAACCTGAAGTAGTTAGTGGGATCCAAAATGTGCAGCAGATATTGTAAAAGGGGAGGAAATGTCTAAAAAGGGAAGGTGGTAGCTATTGTTAATTTCCTATCATCCTGAAGTCCTGTATCATTTTTAGTGTTTTGTATTGTTTGGTGTTACTGTTTTGTTCATATGTCTGATAGTATGGGCAGCTATTCTGAAGATAACAAAATAGCCATGGTTGATTTTCTATTATCTTGTTTTGAATTCATGTGTCACTTTCATTGCTTTGTTTTGAATGGCTTTATTCTGTTTCATTTTGTTTGGTTTTACTCTCTTTAAAACAAAAAAGTAAGTTCCTATTGCCAACAAGTTACTTACGATTCTTTCTAAGCAAAGGTTTTTTTTTTTTTTTTTGGTCTTTTTCATTTTTTATTGGTACCAGGGATCGAACTCATGACTGCCTGCTTGCAAGGCAGGTGCTTATGCCGCTGAGCTAAATCCCCAGCCCCTCTAAGCAAGTTTTATTCCTTTGAATTCCATTTGTCCTTTCATCAATCCCATAAACTCTACTTCTCTACTACGGTTGTCTTTCAGATATTTACATCCACTGGGGAAATTCTTCCAATATTAAAATACATATATACTAAAGTATTATTCACAACACATCCACTTGATTATATCTAATGTTGCTGAAATCTCTAAGTAAGAATGGCATATACATGAGTTCATCAAATTGTTTATAATCTCCTTTCCAAGACAAGCCCCATTCATATATAACAAAAATCTTGAACTACAACATGCTCAAAAGATAAGGTACACAAAAATTCATATAGGAAGAATTCAATCTGTCTCAAATAGTCTCAAAATGGTGACTAAAAGATAATAATGCAGACTAAAGGGGGGGCTAAGTGCCTTTTTACAATTTGAATTTTCTTTGTCCACAAAATTTTCAGTATCTCAAAGTAATGTCTTTCTCTTTTCAGCCTCATGGTGGATTCTGAACAACTAGATATTCCTAGATAATTTCTTCATGACTTCAAGTGCAAAACAAGTGTTCTTATCTCAAGTGTCAAACTAGAAAATTTCTGTGGTTGTCATCTTGTGGTTATCTATTGTATACTTTTGTTTAATATATTTATTCTAAATGCACTCTTTTAAAGTATATTGTACAACTTTATCATGCGTGTGAATTTTAGCTTAGTTTTCAAAGGTTCAGTATTTGATGCACAGTGCTTTGCTACATTGTTACCAACCTAAAACATTTAGTAACAAAACCCTGTGGTAAAACTGTATACATAGTAATAAAATAGTGAAAAGAAATTATGCAGAAAAAATACTTACATGAAAATTCTTAGAGCATTACTTCATAGGACAGATTTTGTAGATAAGCACTTGGTGTTTTATGATATTAGTAACATCTTTTGTGAATGAAGCTCATACTTCAGTAACACATACACTGAATACACAATCCTGTGACTATTCTTTTTGCATAAAACAACCTTGTTTGTAACCTGTCTCTATCCATTTGGCTTTTCATAAAAGAACAAGCCTATGATAAGTTAGGGTATGACACAGTAATTAAAACTATTATAATCATTTATTTTTGCCATAATTACCTTGAAATTAAATGTTAAGCAAATAAGAGACTTTTACGTTAGTGAAATTTAGCTCAAATTTTATGGCACGTAAGATCCAGGTAACTAACACTCCCTATGAGGACTAGACTTCTGCATTTGAGTAATGATTTCAAAGTATAAGATTTTAAAAGTAAGTTTTAACCTGAATAAATATAAAACAAGCACAATCTCAGAGCAGAAAACGCTTCCAGTATTCACACTAAAGTGACTAAAACTATGTTCCTTATATATTTCATATACTTATATATAAAGGGACATAAATGAAATGTTTTTAATAAAATGAATTTTTACTACTTATAACCCCTGCTAACAACACAGACAGAAATTTGTTGCCATATAGTCCAAATCCTCTGAAACAATCCATTTTCAGTGAAAAACACTGTGAGGTAAAATTTTTGTATTTTTTCACTGTTAGAAAACTCAGAGGAAATAGAAAATGAATTAAAATTTTATTTCCTAAATGTAAAATTTGACATGTCTTCTCACACTAACTTATGGAACATTAACTTTTATTATTACCGTTGGATACTTTCATTTCACATTTAGACTAAAAAAAATTAAATGTTTTCATACTTTCTTTTAGACATAAGTAGTAAATTCTGACACAGACTCTGTATGCTGTGTGTGTGTGTGTTTCTGGTCACTTCTAAAGATGACAAGCATTCTGAAGCAACACCTGGCTCAATACTTTTAATATATACACAAAACAGGGAACATTAATGTACACTGATTATTCATACAAGCTATACATATGTACAAAGGCAAGCAGATAAGAGTCTTCGCAGTCTCCCTCTGACTCCACATAGTAAGAAAGGATCAGACTTCGAAACCTACAGTACTTCCAATATAAAAGGTCTTCTTGGAAACAGTTATAAATGGTTTCAAAAGTACAACTTCTATCAGTCTTCTACTTCTTTGGTTGGTCTATTTCAGTATTCAATTCTAAAAAGCATATTAGGTATTTGGACAAGGCAGTTTACAAAGGAACTTGATAGCGTGACTAAAAACAGGATTCTGCCCAGTAACAGTAGTAACTGGAAAAGCTCTTCAGACTGGAATAAGTTCAATCATATCTTTTAAACTAGTACCAAGTGAACTTAAGAATAGGCAAATAATGAAGCAAATCAATTTAATTTATGGTAATTCTAACCCCAGTTCTCATACACATATTTTGTGTATGTTTATGACAGTATGTGCTTATGAATGTGTGTTTATACACACACACACACACACACACACACACACACACACACACACACATTGGAACCTATAGTGAAAAAGAAAAATATTAGGGCAGATAATTGAAAAACTGAGCCTTAGTATAAACATCCCATTTTAAAGTAATCAAAATATTTAGTAAAGAAATTCACGGGTAATAGAAGTGTTTTCCCTGTATTTAAAAAAAATAATCCTGTTTTCTGAGAAACACAGCATGGAAAAAGAAGGCACTAAAAGAGCAACTTGAGAAAGCTTCCACTGATGAAAAGGTGAATCTAGATAACAAGCTCAAAAAATAATGAGAAAAAAAGATACTGGTTTTAGGACTTTACATTCAGTGAAAAATAAGCTTTGTGTCAAGTAATGACCTTGAATATCTTTCCAATAGATCTAGGGATCCAAAAGAATGAAATAGGGAGAGTTTATACTTATCTTTTTGATAGCAACTTTTTACACTAAGCTGAAAAAAAATACTTTTATAATAGTAACACCCACAGTTAAAACTTGCAGGAGGATTACGACCTAAAATTTCTAGGAATTAAAAGTTTGAACCTCAAACTTCTTTATCTACATATGTTCTCGTTATAAGAAACTATAGAATTGAAACTTAATGCACCTCAATTATATGCACATACCTAAATTTTTTTCTTTTATAAATAATCATTTTTAATTTGCAATTGCTCAACTTATGTTGACATAATCTGATTAATGTCAGAAATACCAACTATTTTTCAACTTCAGTTTCTTTCACTGACATTTTTTCACAATGTCAATCTCCTCTAGTAATTATTAAGATCAGTGTTATTATCAAAAATCTATCAATCATATATTTGCAAAGAAATGCCTATTTAAAAATTCTTTCTACTATCATTGACAACTATGTATTGAGTATCTTGAATCACTCTACACCTCTAGAAAGAACATGATGATTCACTCAAGAGCTAGTGTGCAATCAGTGCGAATTAGAAAAGGAACTTTTAAGAGCAAGGAGAAATTATCTACACTGTAGCAAATACTTTATATTTGAGAATCTTTACAATTTACATTTCTATTCCATTATTACAACTTGTGAAAAACAAAAAAATTGCAAGTAACATGCAAATTATAAAGTCTTCTCACTTCAAATTCTTCTCACTAGCCAAATTTCCTATTTTACAGTGTTTTGCAGCAAACTGTTTTTACAAAGCTAATTTGAAAATTCCTTTTACTTTAAAATAGCTCTTTTTCATTTTAGGAGAAGCCAAATAGCCAACCATCAAAACTTAAAATAAATTGAATTGTCACAGTCAATTACAGTTACTGTTACTAGGTCCACTTTATTTGCTGGTGTTCAAAATATAAAACAAATAATTCATTATCTTCATATTCATCTGTTCTTAAAATACTACTTAAAACTTTGGTTGTTTTCCTGTAACAAAAAAGAAAGAATTGATTTATTAATTCAATTAGTTGAATTTAGTTTTTACAAATTCTCAAAGCAAATACTGTGAATTTGCTTAGTGTTTACAATCTAAATGCATGTTACTATAGAAACTATTAAAGTGAAATTGTCAACAAAAGTTCTTCTGTGTCAGCAAACCTATAATTCATTTTTAAATACATTAAAGTGTAGTTCAACCTGTTGTTCTGTTTTTGTGGTACACAGTTTTATTCATGTTATTAATGCATAAAGCAAAAGTAAACAATTCTAATGTATGTTTGTTCTAAAGTGCGTGTCAAACATTTATTTACAAAATAAAGTGTCATAAACTAAAAAATGTGAACTTGAAAATGTGACATTTTATAGAGGATGGAAGTTTATGAAGTTTATACTTATTCTCACAGACCAAGGATTATCCCTACGAACTCTGAGCAGGTAAGAACATTCAAGTATCATCAAGCATATTTCTTCCTCATTTAGTATTACTTTGTGAGAGGTAGTATGAAAACATTTGAATTCTTGATTAATGTTTTTTAAAAAACAGGCTAGAAGTATCTTAAGTGAGTTTAAATTATGAAATACTAATATGTTAGAACATTACAAAACAATAATATAACAATATAGAGTCCTTAAAAATGTTAACTAAGCAAATAAATACAGTGGATTTCTAAGTGTTGACATTCCCAAAGTTTATGGAAACAGAAGATGGTATTCTGTATCTCATATTCTGTATCTCATATTTGATACATTCTTAGCAGACCTACATTCTGAGTCTCATTTCAATACAATCTTGGTTACCTTTGACTACACAAAATAATGTTTATTAAAACTCTTAAAGTAAAATTCCAGCCAACTGTTTAGATAGATCATAAAAGATATAAATATTTAGTGAGAGCAAAGTAAGAGATTGGTATCATCCTAAGCACTCTCATGTGTTACTGTATTTAATCCTTACCATCAGAGGTTATCATTTTTATCTGCAATTTCAAAACTTAAACTCAAGAAAGGTGTAGTGACTCGCTCTCATCTGAACTAACAGTTTGCCGAGTTGAGCTACAATTAGAAATCAAATTGGAAGCCAAAACCCATGTACTTTTCAGTACCCCACAAGAAATATATTTATCGTGTATATCTACTTGGATGCAATTGATGGGGTGACAGAAATACAGAATTCAGAATAGGAAAGCCAAATTTAAGAAAAATAAAAAGATGACTTGTTTAGCTGTTTTAAAACTAAATAAATTGAATAGACAAACCATTAACAAACTCTGTATTTCTAGAGAGATTTCAGAGAACCATTCTTTCAACAACTATTACTAGAATAACTAGATATACACACAGAAAAAATAAAACTTGACCCCCACCTTGTATGACATAATAAAATAAATTCAAGGTGGATTATAGAACTTAATTGAAAAACAAAACACAACTTTTAGAATATTAGATGATATTTTTATGATGTTTTAACTGAAAAATATTTCATAACTAAAATATAACTTCTATTATATTTCTTGAGTAATAATTATTTTATAACTAGTTTTACTACACATTTGGAGTTTTGTGGTTTTCTGGATTACAAATATTTTGCAATAAGAGTCTACAGGTAGAATAAAAAATGTTAAAGACAAACATTTGGAATACAATATTACAATACAAAATCAGAAAACTACTTACTAGTGTTTGGACTACAATGGGATGATCAGGCAGAAAGTCTGGTTTTTTTCTGCAGATGGAAACACTTGAGAGCTTCAGTAGGAAATCTCTGCTGTATTTAATTCTCTCTGTAAACATAAAACATTACATATATTTATACTACAAAACAAAGTTCAGCCACGGGTGGTGGTGCACTCCTGTAATGGCAGCACTCTAGAAGGCTAAGGTAGGAGGATCCGCATTTGAGTTCAGCCTGGGCAACTCAGCAACTTAGTGAGACCCTGTCTCAAATTTAAAAATAAAAGGCTAGGAATGTAGTGCAGTGAAAAAGCCTTGAGGTCATTGAATTAAGCTAAAGCTCAAGTAACTATGCTGGATCACATTTTGGCTCGTTTTTTTTTTTTTACTAGAAGTCCTTGAAATACCCATTATCTCTAAAATGATGAGTAAAGTATACGCAAAAGAAGGAAAAGCTTTGAAAAACATCTACCTCTAATTTTCCATTTACATGGAAAGGAAGCCAAGTAATTAAGTAAAAATGCAAGAAAAAAATGCTTTATGAAACTGGTAATGCAGGACTTTTCTTGACTGGTTATTCAGGTCTAGTAAAATGATTCTGTATCATAAAGTATAGGAACAGTAACATCTACTGGTCAATTCAGGACCTGCCAAAGTGGAATTTTAGTGAATCTATTTAACCTCAATTAATACTAAAAATTAATATAATCAAAACAATTTCAATTTAAGAAGCATTTATTATGTATCTATTGTCTGTTGAAGACTATACTAGACAAAGGTAAACAAGATTCAAGACAGAGTCCCTATATTCAAGTGGAACAATGATTCAGATACTTGCTGACCTTTTATCATAAATGATGGTTAGAAAGTGTTATATTTTTAAAGTATAGTGGAATAATGTTTTTGCAAAGAAAAGAACTGGCACTGAGGTTATAGCTCAGTGTAAGAGTGCTTGCCTAGCATGCATAAGGCCTTTATCACCAACATTTCCAAAAATGTCAAAAATATTAACTGGTAACTCAAAATCCCATATCCAGTGTATGCTGGTGGGGGAGTCTACCAGAATGCACGTAAGGGTATATACAGATGAAGGAACACTCAAAAAAGTAATCACGAATAAAGTGTGACTCTATTTCAACAAAATTTTAACTACAAAAATAGGCACTGGCAGAGTGAATTTAAAAAGAGGACCTTATTACACGCTGTTCACCAGCAATAATGTTAATTATAAAGACACAATGAGCCTTAAATGTATCATTTTTACATACAATATACTGTGCAAAGAACTAATAATAAGACTGTAGTGACTATCTTAGTTTCAGACAAAGAAACATTTATCAATGTTTTGTGTTACCAAGTTTTGAAATACGGAAAGCAAAATTTAATAGAAATAAAAGGGGGGCTAGGAATTTAGCTTGGCGGCATAGGCACCTGCCTGCCAAGTGCAAGGTCGTGAGTTCAATCACCGGGGCTCTATCTATAGAGAGATTATATATATGGGGAAGTAGACACTTCCACAATACCAGCATGTAACATAATAACCTATTACTCAGCAATTGATAGAACTAGACACAAAGAATGGTAAAAAGATGAATTTGAACATTATCAACCACTCTGATTTCCCTAACATTTACAGACATTACATTAAAAACGGCAAAATACACTGTTCTTTTCAAATAGTGTACAGTCAACAGACTATAAGCCTCGATAAGTTTAAGAGCCTTAAAATATTATTGACTATATTATCTAACAAAATTAAATTACACATCAATGATAATTTTTAAAAAGTATCTTGGAAATTAACATATTTTCAAAAATTCCATATGGTAAAATAATGAGGATATTAAAAATATTTCAAACCAAATGACAGCCAAATATAGTATGTTAACCCTTAAGGACTACAGCTAATACCTGGTTTCTTCAAGGGAAACAAATTCTTATTGGAAGAGTCAAAGTCCATTTGTGTTATTATAACTGAATACCTAATACTGGGCAATATAGAAAAAGAAGGTGTCTATTTGGGTCAGTAATTCTGGTGGCTGGAAAGTCTAACAGCATAGCACTGGGCAAAGGTTCCCTGGCTGCACCATAACATGCAGGTAACATCACATAGCAGGACATCAGCATTGGAAGGATTCAGGGGAGGTTCCAGGATCACTTTAACAACCTTTCTTCTCAACTACTAATCTAGTACTCTTAACTAGAATTCTAAAGGGACAGTATTAAATCCATTTTTAAAGATCTACTCACTATTTTTTAAAGTAAAAACAGAATAAAAACAATGATACAGAATTTCAAAACAAAATAACAGGAGATTAACAATGGTTAATATATTGACTATTGTTATCTTCAAATTAGTTGCTCAGATTATAATATGCAGGCATGAAAAAATAAACAATGAAAGCACAAACTGTTTTTTTTATGAACTAATAGAGATTAGTAGTATAAAGGCTCTACCACTTCAATTGGCATTTTACTGGCAAATTAAGCCTGAACATGAGTTTTGAGAGGGACAAAGCACTTTGGGACAACTTGTTAAGATTATAAAATAGACCTGATAAATTTTAAAAGATTAAAATTATATAAAAAATCTTCTATCGACTACAATGGAATGAAACTAGGGGTCAACAACAGAAAACTGGAAAATTTACAAATATGTGGAAATTAATTCATACTGTTAAATAATCAATAGAACAAAGAACAACAGGGGAGTCCGAAAACATCTGACACAAATGAAAACCAAAACACCATATACTAAAACTTAAAGGATACAGTAAAAACGGTGCCTGGAGAAGTTCACAGCTACACAAGCTAACATTTAAAAAGGAAAAACTGGTCTGTATGTCAGCACTCTGGGAGGCTGAGGCAGGAGGATTATAAATTTGTGCCAAACCTGCTCAAATTGGTGATTAGGAATACCATATCACAAAATAAAATAAAATTTTAAAAGGCTGGGATGGAGCTAAGCTTGAAAGTCCTAGGTTCAACCTCTAGCACTGCAAGGAGGGAAGGGGGAATATCAAAGTAAGTATCTAACATTACACAATAAACAACTAGGGAAAAAAAGCAAACCATCAAAAGTGAGAGGAACGTAGGACATAATAAAGATGAGAGGAGATAATTAAACTATACAATATAAAAATAAAACCAAAAGTTTTAAAAATTTTATTAGCCCTAAGTAAATAGATAACCTTATTTTGTTCTGGATGTCAGGAAAAAAGCATTCAGTCTTTCATCACCAAGCATGACATTAGTGGTCCATAGATAACCTTTATCAGGACAAAGAAGTTCTCCATTACTCACTTATCAAGCACTGCTGCTCATGTGTTAAGACATTTTATCAGGAAAAGGTACTGGATTTTTGTCAAATGCTTTTCTGCATCAATGGAGATGTTTATGTGTTTTCTGACTCCCATTTTGTATATATTATCGATTTTCCTACTTCACAAAACTGAACCAGTATACCAGTTCAACTTTTTACATGATATATAAAAGATAGAAATTAATTTCCATTTTTGAAGGTCTTGTTATTCTATTCTATCCTTCAGAGCTGTCAAATTGATACACTAACATGAACAGAAATAAACCTAAAAATACAATAGAATTTATTTTATGCATAGGTGTATACCTAACCCACAAAGTAATATTAATCTTATATGGATAACAATGATGGATGTGATGAAGTCTGGTGAAACTTTACCTTTTTTAACTGGAGACTGATGTTGCTGCTCTTCATTAAGACCTTGAGAAAAGGCTTGTTTTCCATTCATCTTACACTGTTGGGCAAGAAATAAATGTATTTTTAAATTCAGATTGGGGGGGGGGCTTTTTTCTATTTTAAGGAGAATAAAACACAAGAGAACAAAGCAAATCAGAATAGAGTAATGCAAGCAACATAGCACTTCACAACCGAATATCAACAGTAGCTACCATAATGTCTCTTTTCTTTGAAAAAGTAAAACTTTCATACAACCTGCTATTACCACCCAGAAATGTTTTCCTAATAATTAAAATATCACTCAAGGAATACTTGGGACCAAAAGATACATAAACATTATAAGTCTGCTTATATTCAAATGTATCTATAACAACTTTTTGCTGTGACTGTAATTGTTTTTGAGGGATAACACAGGACCAAAGATAATTATCTAGACCTAAAGAAAAATAATTTCAAATAATTTCAAAGTTCAAAGTGACTTTTATACATTTTTATGCGAGAATACTAGAAAATTCAGGGTTTTTTGTATATCATATGAAGTAGACTTTGATGTCTGCTTATAACTAACATAGATAGTTTCAACCAATACCTCAGAAACAGGACAAATAAAAACTAGTTCATCCAGTGAAGAAAAAAAAAAAACAATCAGAAACACTAGAGTTTTCTGAAGGACCATCTTTATTGTGAGATTCGTTAAACTAATTGGATGACATTTTTAAATCACTTTATTCCCATTCTTCTGACTCTAAATTTATGCAAAAATATTATGATTACGATTTAACTTTCCATAACTCTCCCTACAGAGAGAAAATATATCAGTTATAATAAGAGAACTCACAGGATAAAATAGCAAGATTACTGATAAAATAAATATTTTCTGATTTTATGTATATCACAAATTTGATCAATACAATACACTGCTAAGAGATGACCTCATTTTTGTACTAAGAAAAATCATTTTCAAACAGTCCCTAGTTAAGGTTGATTTCTTTAGCAACATCTACCCTGAAAAAATGAACACCTCTACTCCAAAAATAACTCTACTACACATTGTGAACCAGTCCTTAAATTTCTGCAAATTCTACCAAAGTAACACTGCCTAAATTCAGAAAGATTAAGATACAATAGAACTAAGGAGATAATTCTCCACTACTGAGATATAAAATAAGCCATCAAAAAATCAATTCATTAAACAATAAATGTAATACATCACATACACAGAAGCAAAGACAAAAATCAAGCACTCAACTCAACAGATGCAAGAAAAGCCTGACAAAATTCAACATCCTTTCATGATAAAAAGAAAAAAACCCTGAAGAAAACAGGCATAGAAGAACTTCCCTTAACCTGCTGAAAGCCATGAATGACAAAACTACTGATACCATCCATATTAAATGGTAAAAAACTGAAAGCATTTCCTCTAAATCAGTAACAAGACATAGATGCCCACTATCACTATCACGTAATACTGAAAAATTTAGCCACAGAAATTAGGCAAAAGAAAGAATTCAAAGGGTTATGTATAAAAAAGAACTCAAACTGTGGTTATTTGTAGATGCCGTGATCTTTTACACAGAAAAGGAGAAAAATTCTAACAAAAGATATCTACAACTAATAAATGAATTTAGCAATTTAGCAGGACACAAAATCAGTGCACAAAATTCAATAGTGTTTCTGTACAGCAACAATGAACTGACCCAAAAAGAAATTAGAAAAATAATACCTTTCACAATACCCTCGAGAAAAATTAAACGTTTAGAATTAATCTAAAAAAGGAAGTGAAAGAACTCAATTAAGAAAACTACAGGAGTGTTTTTTGTTTGTTTGTTTGTTTGTTTTTGACACCAGGGACCAAATTCACAACCTCAAACTTAGCAGGCAACTGCATGAGCCACTGTCCCAACCTAAACTATGGTATTCTTTAAAAGATCAAAGAGGACATTCAAAAATGGAAAGCTATACCCTGTTCCTGAATAGGCAGAATTAATATTGTCAAAATGGCCATACTATCAAAACCTATAGATATAATCTCCAACAAATACCAACACCACTACTCACAAAAGTATGGAAAATAGATCCTAAAATTTATATGAAACCAAAAGAGACCCAGAATAACAAAAGCAATTCTGAGCAACCAGAGAAAAACAAGAAATTCCAGATTTCAAGTTATATCACAGCGCTGCAATGAAAGCAACTTAAACAATGCAAATGAATGCAATTTAAAACCATAACACCAAGTGAAATAAATCAGAGACACAAGCATAAATACCCCATGGCTTCTCTTGTGAGAACCCAAAGTATAAAGAGCAAAACGAAAGATATGTACAGCAAACATGAGCTTATCAAACGAAAAAATAATCAACTACTAGTTTTTTAAAAAAATTTTAAGTAGATAAAAAAATTAGGATATATTAAATATATCAGTTTTCTAAAACTGTTCTTGATGGGGCTGGGGGTTTAGCTCAGCAGGCTAAGTGCCTGCTTGGCAACCGTGAGGTCATGAGTTCGATCCCCAACACCAAAAACAAACTGTTCTTGTTAATTTAATTAACTATAATGGACACTTTATGAAAAAATAATATATCTGAAAATTTTAATATTTCACTAACTTTGTAGCAGTTATTTAAATGAAAAACATGGGTTGTCACATATATATAACAATACTGTATTTTTAAAATTTTTCTTGCTGTGCCTTCTGCCCATTTCTAGTTTCCCTTCTTATCTTTAGCCATCTTTCCATTTCATATTATCTATCTTTGGTTGTTAAGTTGCAGTCATTTTCCTATAAATTACTTACACCCTTTTTTATAGTAGAGTAGCACTTTACTGTGTGTAAATGCCATACTTTCTTTCTCCATTCATCTCTTGATGGATTTGTATATCAAGATGCTAAGATCATGATTGAAGGTAAAACTCTTTTTATGCTTGCACATCTTAAAACTTCAAAATGCTGATTTTTTCCAATCTTTTATAATATGGAAAAATTACACTTATAAAACTTTATAAAATGATTATGTTATTTCATTTATTTATCATAATCATAAGAAAAAGACAGGTATGAATGCCATGCTATGAATAATGAAAGTACAGACAGGGAACATATGGTGACCCATGTAAAATACAGCTAAGAGACAGTTAAGCTAGTGTTTTTCCCCAAGATTTGTGTTTGGTTTTAAAATTATTAACAAAAACAAGCAGTAAAAAGGGGAATGAGGAATACTTCTGTTTGGAAAAAAAAACAATAAATAAATATCATTGAGTCAAGGGACAGATCTGAGCCAACTTCAGATATAATTATTAGACACATATCTTAACTATTCACATAATTTGGTACAGAAAGTAGTTTTAAAGACCAATCATATTTCCTCTTTCTAGTTTCACAGGAATATCACATTTCTCAGTATTTAATATAAATTGGAGGATTGTGATTTGTTGTTATTAATGATTTCTGTGTAGAAGTACTATACTTCATTTCCAGGCCTGCCTCTTAAAGCATTTGGAAGATTATTGGCTCATGGATTCTCATATTTTTATGGCTAGAAGAAAATAACCAAGACTGTAGAGCTAAATATGAAGGTAAACTATAACATAATCCTGAGTCCCCCATCAGAAGGAATTCTTGAGGCTAGCTGGTTGATGTGTAATAAAAACTTGTGTTGAATATAAATAAACTTTTACCTGTTAAGGCATTAAGAATTCTGGATTGCTAATTACATCTGATGGTTATCTTAATACAATATGGGAAATTTCAAATGTGGTTCTTCTGTAATAAAACCCTAAATTAAGTTGTATTATCTTAGTGCTCCAACAAGAGGAAAATATGGAAACTGATATCTGATGCTAGAATCATGGAAATTACATCATACCATGTAAAATGTTCTGTAAAGCTGTCACCTTAGTTACCAGTGGAGATTTACAAAATAAGTTAAACGCAGAGTTACCATGTGGAAAAGGAACTACACATAAAGGGTTAAAATTCATAGCAATAATGGAGATTGTTTAGCAGGTAGAAGCAAAGCATTTTATTCTATTCTAATAAAAACTGTTTACTTGTATAATTTTTTGGTCTCCTAATTCTTGTAAAGGTGCCAAATGGTAACAGTAATGCAGCTGAATGCATTCACGTAATAAACACTGAATACCTCTGGCCTAAAGAGCACTATGCGTTGTACTGGAAATACAAAGATAAACACATCATTCCAGTATCTGATGCTAGAGACATCATGGGAAAAGACATCATGGGAAAAGACATCATGGGAAAAGACAACATGGGAAAGGTGGGAAGGAAATGGATGGTAAAGAGAGAGAGATACAAGGGTATTTAATAAAATTTTTCAAAACAAATATAGTAAAACACTAATATTTGAAATTGCTGGATGATAGATACATGGGTGTTATGTTATGTATTATCTTTAAAATATATTTGAAATACATAACTTCTCAGAAAATATATAAAGCAATATACTATCTAGTTCACAACAACCATCTAACAAACGTTATTTTCTATGTTTTACTTTAGTTTTATTTTTTGGTTCCAGGGATCGAACTCATGACCTTGCGCTTGCCAGGCAGGCACTTAAGCCACTGAGCTAAATTCCCAGCCCCTATTTTCTATAATGTTTTATGTATAACTTTTTTTGTTGTTCCTGGAGATTGAACTCAGGGCCTCACAAATACAAAGCATGCAACCTACCCCTGAGCTACAGCCCCAGGCCCATTTTATTATGACTTTTAAGACTTACTCTGCTAATTCCACTTTGTAAGCACTGGGTGTTGCATGGATATTCACTCTGAAAATTGAAAGGTAACACTGCTCCTGTTGAGAGGGAAAAAATCTACTTTAAATATTCATGCTAAAAACATTTAACACTACTTGGAAAACTTAAATGTCTAGAGTATATTTGGTATTATTTTGAAATACTTTCTAACACTTCATCTATACAACAAATATTTATGAAATGTCAACCTCTGCATTCCGGGATGGGCATGGAAGCAAACCAAGAGTTCAGATGTAAAAAGTTCATAGTCTAAAAGATAATCTCTAGTTAGGTCCGGGGCCAAGCTATGGTCTAATGCTTGGCAAATGAGAAGTCATGAGTTCAATCCCTGGTACCAAAATAAAAAATAAAAGACAATTTCATCAACAATGATATAATATAACATTTTTCAAGCTATAATTAGAGAAGATAGTAGGATTCAGGAGTTAGTTTTAAGATATTAGGAAGACTTAACCAAAGGAAGTAACTCAAATCTGAGTCGTGAAGTCTTGAAAGCATAGTTGTTCAGAGTGTGGAAGGGTGCTGAGAAAGGAACAGATTAATTTTTGACTTATTAAAGTTTTCTAATAAACTTACTCTTCTGTGTGAATCTTAAAGAGTTAGTTAAATGAGAGCCCAGGGCTACCTCCATGTCCATACCCATTCATCTATATAAAAGCTTTGAGGGAAGGGACAGTGAAACACTGATCTGGAGAGATGGAGGAAGGGAAGGGTGGTAGCATAGAATTTTTCACAGAGATGAGCTGCTGCCAATTGCTGTAAATCCTTTTATGGTAAAATCAGAGACGACACTATACAGCTGCTTCCAGTATACCAAAAGGACACGAGCCTGGCCAAGCTACAGTCTAAAAGTACCCATTAATTTTGTCTGTCTGCTCCAAATTACAGCTATCTTGAACAGAAATATGACCGAAGTGGAGATAATTTTTCCTTATAGGAATCAAGGATAGGAAAACAAACAAGAAACAGAAATTGATTCCATCCCTATCATTTTCATTTCATTTTTCTATCAATAAAAGGGCTATATTTTCCTTTATCTAAGTAGTCAGTTAATTCAATTGAACAAAAGAACAAAGAAAATGTAAATAGGTTAAGTGTATGTCACCTGATTAGAATACAGAAGAAATTCTGACAACTCAACAGAATAAAAAAATTAATACTCTAATTTAGGAGTTAATATGAAGTATTTCAAGAATTTGTCCAATAAAAAATAAAAAGAATTTGTTCAAGAGAATAGTTTATCAACACAAAGAACACTTAATTTTAGATTTAGTTTTTGTTTAAATTTTCTGAAATTAGATATATTCTAGGAGAAGCATATCCCTAACTTGCAGAAATAAAGCATGAGCACTGTAAAATCTGTGTCAACTTTTGTGAATTTGTTTTTGGTTTTGTTTTGCACATATGTATCTTTTAAAAGGTTAGTTCTCCAGCATACTATTATGCAATGATCATAATCACAGGACACAATTTATATCACTATTTAGATACCAGCTGACTTTGAAAAATGAGATGTAAATAACTATAGTTATTTTCAGTCAAGAACCATTCTTCCTACCCTTATTAGTATGAACTGCAAGAGTATTAAAAATATTTTTCTTTTGGTAATAATTTGCAAATTCTTCAAACAGAAAAGATCATTAGTTCTTATTATTTCTTATATTTAAATATCCATTCAAACAATTACTTTGTATATTGTTTACCCTTTTGATGCTAATTCACCATTAACAAATTAGTATTTAAAGAACTGTATACTGTATTACTCACCTGAGGAAGAAGTCAGATGATGAACAGGTCTTGCTGGTTGAAGCGATTTACCAATTAATTTTTTGGTTTCCATTGTCACAAAGACCTTGTGGTTCCATACTTTAAGAGGGAAAAATGCATTATCTTTTGGACAAGATTTTTTGCCTATATATATAAGTAACCACAATACTCATTTGAAGATATCTGTTTCATAAGTTGAAAAACATAAGCACAGAAAAGTATTTAAAATAATGTATAATAACCTCAGACCTCTGTAGTGCATTTGTCACATTCCCTCTTTAGAACATTTTCCTCTGTTAATTTCCCTCACTTTACTCTTTCGGCTTATTTTGTCTCTTCTAACTTCCTTAATTGATTTTTCTGCTCTTTAATTAAATGTACAGATTCAACTAAATTTGTCTTTAGCCCTCTTAGTTAATCTGATCTATTCTTATGATTGCAATGACCTATGCACATAAATATGATCTCTTAGGCTTCCCGTATCTACATTCTTAAACTCCTGCTTCATTTCTCTAATTGTCTAATCGTGTTGCAATTTCTTATCACAGGTTCTTCAAATTAAACTTACCCAAAGTCAAATTACTTTTGACCCCCAAAGATGTCCCTCCTCCTGGATTCCTTAACATCATCACTAACTCCTTTAGACTATCCTTAAAGATACCTTCAATGTGATGATGTAAATTATAGCACCATCCTATAATTAGCCTCTAATTTCTGTCCATTCTACTTTCAAAACATGTCATATTTTCTTCATTCCTACCACTACTCTCTTAATTCCACATGTGCCATAATTCATCTCTCTGATCACCTTTTAAATAAGTTTAAATGCTCATATATAACTCTAATATACCAGCATCATATTAAAGAAAACTATACTAAATTGCTTTGTTTTTCACACTAGACAAAAATGTGATTCTTTTTAAAGTGAGAAAACAATACTTAACCACGTGTCATCTGTAACTAATACAGCATCTGTACTGAATCCAAAATAGAAATAAAACAAGTATTCCCTGAGCAAATGGATGAACACAGTACATTTTCAAAGTATGACCATTTATATATTTGCTTTAAAACATTTAATAAGAATTTAGTATTAATAAATTCTTATTAAAGAATTTTAGTATTAATAAATTCTTATTAAAAGTATTAATAAATTCTTATTAAAGTATTAATAAATTCTTATTAACATGGACATTAACATAATGTCCATGTTATGGATAGTAAACTGCTCACCAACATTATATTATTCAGAACAACTTTATAAATTAGGCTCTACTAATATTTAAAGCTCAGGTTTCAAGAAAGTCTACCTGGGTTCATTTTATGGCTCCACTACCTCGTTACAAACTATAGATAACAACAGTTTATACTTTCTAGAGTTAGTGAGAAGACTAAATAATATAACTCACAAAAAGTTCTCAATGCAACATCTAGTACATACTTAAAAGTTCAATGACTATTAGTTAACAATTAGTGTCCTCGGGGCCAGGGTTTTAGCTCAGCAGCATAAGCATCTACCTGGCAAGTGCAAGATTGTAAATTCAGTCCCCGATAAAACAAAAACAAAAACCCACACATCAATGTGTACAGCATTGGCAACTTCCATTATTAGTGTCCTCATTTTACACATAAGACTTAGAGAAAAAGGCAATTGGCTTTGCTCATACCCAGATTGCTTCACAACACTCTACAATCTAGCTAGCACTCACCTCTCTGCATCTCAGACACATGTTCTCATAAGTAACTTTTTATGTGCTCACAAAAAAAAACCTGAAACCTCTACTAATGTGGTACCTATTGAAGAAGTTGCAAATATCTATTAATGGAGTGTTAAATTATAGTTCTATCATTCAAGAGTGCATCTATTGTGTAGTAGTGTCTAGTACACAGTGGATGTTCAGTAAATCGCTGAATCAATGTTACTGTGTTTTATCATATACCTACCATTCATGTGCTCTGTCTGGAGTTCCCTAACATTCCTTGTTGTTGTTTTCCCAATAACTATTCATCTTTCAAGGCCAAACTCAAGCTCAAGCTTTTACTGTTTCTTGCTTCAGTAGGTAAAATTAAATAAATGCCTCAATAGGTAAAATTAAGTAAATAAAAGTTTATGTGAAGTTCTCTAATTCCTAATAGTTAACAGTAATATAAGAACAATTCTTTACATTTCTCCTCCACGAGCTCCTTTTGTACTCTGCTTATCAGTGTCTCTACACTATATCACAATAAATATATTATATGGTTATTTGGTTAGACTAGAAGTTAATGAAAGCCACAAAAACTAGACCTTATTTTTGGACCCTAGTACTGGCAACATAATTAAACAATCTATAAATTTAAGTACCTCATCATTATATCTCTGACAGCTGCATGGAACACAGGCTTTCTTAATTTTTATGCCCTTCAGTATAAGTCAAAACTAAAACCCCAAAGGGCTTTGTACCTGTTCACCCCAAAATAATTGTAAGCATATAATTGTAAATTAATGAGTCTAAATGATTGTCTTTTCCCATATAAGACAAGATTGGCAACTCTCCCTTACATTTCCAAGAAATGCTTTATTTAAAAGTATCTTTAGAGGGAAACCCACTTGGGACTTTTCCTGTCTCTCAGGAGCTATTCCTAATTTCCTGTTTCCCCACTAGTATTCCCCATTTCTTTTCTCTAATAAATTTCCCTACTCTTTAAAAAATATCCTTAGAAATGTATGAATATTAAAGCCATAAACTTATAAACAATTTCACAAAGTTGGCAATGATGACTATGACCAAAGTTATTTTTTTCTGAAAGCTGGGAGATAAAATAGCCAATATTCCAAGTCAGTATTTGCCTCACTTTGTAATATGTGTTGTTAATTAAGTTTCTAAACGAAATTAATGCTACATGTACCTGTTGAAATACAACTCTGTGATGTAACAACAAGCAGAAAAAGTTATAAGCAGCAAAATATACCTCAAACAAATACTTACAGAGTATTTTCTATGTGGAAAAGGATACTTTTATAAGACACTAATCTTATATATTGGTACATTTAATATATTTCCTAGCCATTCCAATGAGGACCCTAATACTAGTATGTGGTAACTTTCCATCCTGTCACTCATGTGAAACTAGTGAATCAGAATACAAAAGAATAGAATACTTTGGCACATGATTCCTCGTTTTTCATTGCTCAGCTGAAATTGAGTGATAGGTTATAAAGTCTTTCCCAGCTGCTGAGCAAAGCAAATCCAGAGTATTCAAACCAGGGATTTTCAAACATTCGGGAGTTAGAAAGCTTGTTACATGATTTTGCAAAACAAGTAAACAAAAAAATTAAAGTTCCTTGCAGTGTCACCTATTTTTCAGTTTATTATAGGGAAAAAAACCAGCTAAGACTCTCCTATATATAAATCCACTTCAGTCAAGAAAACTAGAACGATGATGTGATAAAATACTATCTAGTGTTAAAAAAAATAAACTATGCCCATGTAGAAACACTGACAGTATAGGGAATGAGAGATTACAATGCATATTACGCACTACCATTATGTTATTAATTGAAAAAGTTAAGGAATCACCAATTATTATGAACTGATTTATTGGATTAAAATCTAGACAAGGGTCCACAAAGTAGAACCTCTCAGTTTAGTTAAAAACAATAAAAACTTACTTGGACTACAAAATGAGAATACAAAATAAATTCAGCTGTAAACTGCAATGTTTCCTTCAACCACAAAGCTCAATAAATTTCCCTTGATACTACTAGTGCTACCTAAGTATTTATAACTGTTACACAGATTGCAAAAGAAACAGAATTCCACATATTACTGATACAAGAGCATATCTACCATAAATCTGTCTTTTAAAACGTAAATATATAGTTCTGTGGCATGTTTCTTAAAGAATATTTTGCTCCAACCTCTAAAAAACAATACATGCTGAGAATGGGTGCTAAATAAACTGGATCTTTTTCACACTCACACATATTTAATGAATCTTAAAAGATCAAGGTGTATAAACAATATTGGTTAGGAATGTTCCACATCTGGAAAAGCCAATGGTATTTTAGGTTCCCTTTCTGTTTTTTAAAAAGGTGAGATCCATCAGTAACGAAATTACCAAACAGCTTAAAAATTTTCAAAGAACAGTGGAGTAATAAACACACAGCTGACCAACTTGGACACAATTTTACTGTCTAGCATATATTTCTTAAAATGCCATTTCAGATCCTTCTACATGCTAAACCCCTTACATATATTACATATTTATGTTTTAAGATTTTTAATCAGATTTCATTCATACATTTTAGATAAACACAATGATCACATTCATCACAGAGAATCTGTACCTGCACATGACATAACTTGTCTTAACCCCTTACCCTCTCCCTTTTACCCCTCCTTCTCCACCCATTTGCAAAAGTCTCCTTTCCAAGTTTTCTTTCTTTTCTCTATTTTTTTCAGTTTCCTTCTTTCCTTTCCCTCCTCTTTAGTTTCTCTCCCCATTTGAACATTTTCTTCCTATTTCACAATACCTATTATGCATTTTGGTCCTTATTACACTGTCAGTTTCTCACACCAGAGATACAATGTGGTATTTGCACATGTGTCTCCCATTTATTATGTTATTAACTGTGAGCCATACATTAACTGTTGAAGAAAATTATTCTTCGGACTTTACAATGAAAAACCTGAGTTTGAGGAAAATGGGAGACAAATTTAAATTAGCTAATTAATGCCTGGTGAGGACTTGATTACAAAGTTTATGCCTTTGCTCTAAAAAAAAATCTGTTTCGTAAGACAACAGACTGATATTCCAAATAGGCATTACAAGTATGGATTTTAAAATTAACTATGAGAAGGCACATTTACATATAAAGCCTTGTTAGGTAAATTTTATATACCAATAATATCCATTTTCTCAATTTACAATTTTTCTTAGAATATTAAAATATAGCATCATGGTATCCTCATTCTGCAGATATGATGTATAGCCAAACATAGGTAACAAAACTACGAAATACACTGAGTGCTGTTTTTAGAAGTTGCAGCCTCTGTTTAACATCACCAATTTAAGTTCTAGACTTCTTAGGTTTGGGGGTATAGCACAGTGGTAGAGCTCTTGACTAGGTTACTAGAGGCTCTGGGTTTGATCCCCAGGACCACCAGGTAGATAATAGAAGTCAATCGAGCAATCTGAATTTTTGTGGGAAGTGCCGACAGTTATGCTGCAATTAAAAAATACAATTATCCCCCTTTACCGTGTGTAACTTCCTTACAATGGTTCCATTAGATTTAATCTCAATTTCCAACCTCAAAACATTACTTTTACGAAGGTTAATAGTTCTTAAAAACAAATGCTGTTTGCTTGCAAGTAAACCGCGTGGACTGAATAAATGAGAGATGAAAAGTAACTCAGTACAAGAGATGAACGGGTTAGGACTTCAGAGGCGAAGTCATTCCACAAATCCGGTGGCATTAGTGGGGCGTATTTTTTTTAAATATCAAAAGCTCAAACTTCTGTCATATTTTACGCCTTCTTTCCACAACCTCAATACCGACAAGGCAGGTTTTTCTCAAGTCTCTTTCAGTGCAAGGAATACTGAACGGCCGGCTGGGATCAACCGGTGCAGGCAACAGGTGCCTCGGCACCGCTAACGCCCCCGTCTGCCGGGAACGTCTGTCGCCGCGGAACCAGGGGCGACACCCGAGAAACCAGCCCGCCGCCTGCCGGCCGGGGCGCTCACAGAGGCGGCCGCCGGTTGACCCCCGGCCCCTCGCCCCTCGCCCGCTGTGCCGCCCCGGGGGCCCACCCGGGGTCTCGTCCCACCCGCGCCCGCCCCGCCACGCAGCTTTCCTCACGCCGCCCGAGCCCAGCGCCTCCTCACACTCGCCTCCCCGCCGCCTACCGCCTCAGGTCCGGGAGCGCAGCGGGGCGACGGCGTCGCAGAGCTCAGCCCGGACCTCAGACGCGGCGGCCGCGCCCCGTGCCCGTCGGGGACGACTGAGGCGCGCGCTGCGCCGGGGGCGGGGCTGGGGGCGGGGCCAGGGGCGGGGAGAGACCCGAGGGGCGGGGCCAGCGGGGCGCGAACAGTTAAACGGGCGGCGCGTGCTTCCACGCTTTCGCCCCACCCGGGTTCGCGGCTGGCCGGCCGCCTCGCTCAGGTGTGGGGGTCAGGTGTGGGCCCGGGACGCGGCGCGCAGCCTCGCCTCGCCTCGCAGAGCACCGCGCAGCGCGGGACGGCGGCTCTTCGGCCCTGTCTGAGGGGTTGCGGGCCCGCTTTTCCCTGAGGACTTTTGGAGGCGCGGCGCGCGGACCTGGAAGGCCTCAACCCCTGTTTTTCAGTCTTCATGCAGTTGGTCCGCGCATCCCTGGCTGCCTCTGAGTCCCCGAGGACGCGGGAGCCGCGCTCCGGAAGGAAGGCAGTAATACTGCCGTCGCGGGGTGGAGGAGCGCTTGAGTTCGGGTCCGGAGCGGGAGCCGAGAGAGGGGTCGGAGGAGGCTCATGGTGCGGGGCCTCGAAGTGGGTGACTGGCGGGCAGAAGCGCACCGGAGACGGGAACGCGAGTCACGCTTGGAGACTTCTCCATAGTTTACCTTGTAAGAGAAGCAGTGTTTTGGAAGGAATTTAAACAGCGTTGACATGTCAGAATGGGATATTTTAAAGATCTGACAGCAGGGCAAAAGGGAGATGTCTGGGGAGGTGGAGATGGAGGCTTTTACCCTTCTGGAGGAAATGAGGGGGACACGGGGAGAGCAGATCTGAGCGCACGGGACAAGAAAGCAGCTGGATTTAGGGAAGGGTTGGACAGGAGAGAATGCAGGGCATCTCTTGGGTTTCTGACTTCCGCCAGAAAATGAGTAGATGGCTGTGGCATAAAATAGGAAGAATTATAAAAGAAGTATCCAGGTTTTGAGAAGAAAATGATATCATTCGACTTCTATAGCTAAGATGATGATGAGATGTTTAAATTGAGCTATCCAAAAATTATGTATATATAATAAAATTATAGGTATATATGTTTATATATAAAATATATACCGGCATATGGATGTATGCTTTATATATGCATACATAAAGCATGTATATCCATATGTCATAGGCATATTGTAAATTACATTAGAAAAGGGATGCTTAAGTTGAGCTATCCAAAAAAGTTATTTTACATATAATATATACTTTATATACAGGTTTATATATGTATTTATTTATAAAATATATGCCAGATGCCTGCTTGACAAGCACAAGGTTGTGAGTTCGATCCCCCGTACCAAAATATATATACACCATTACATATGTATACATATATAAAACATGTACATCCATATGTCGTAAGCATATTGTAGATAAATTACATTAGGAAAGGGGTGCTGAATATTTTCAAGAAATATTTTAAAGAAATACTCCAGAAAGAACCATTTATAGAGAACTGAAAAGCCAAGCAGTCACCATAGGAGGCTGGAAACTAAGGTATTAAACTCATATTGGGTGAGTGAAGAAGGAAATATCTGAAAAAAGGATCATCTAAGCCTGAAGACAGGTGTAGAATACACAAGTAGTTAGGTAAGTGGTAGGCACGGTAGGTTTTGGTGGCCTGGGGTAAGAAAAAAAATTGGCATATTCTAGAAACTGCCAAAAGATCAGTATGTCTGGGTTACAGAAGGTAAGAAAATATTGAAGATAAATTTAGAGAAATGAGAGAAGCCAAAATCATACAGCGTTTAGTAGATTCTAATAAGGATGTTTTAACTAAATTTTTAAAATTTGGAAGCCTTGAAGGGCCTTAAGTAGGGCAATAATATAGAATTTACTATTTTAAAAGGTATGGCGTTTCCCAAGTGCTTACACAGACATTCAAGTTTTTGTTAGCTATCTTTGTGCAGAAATTACTTCCAAGAACGCTTCTACCATTCACTGAAACAGTTCGCTGGGCATCAGAATCGAAGATGCAGGATCAGATGGTGTCATAAGAACGTGTCCTGTGGTTGGAAGTCTGTGCCAAGGACAGTCGGCGCATACTTCCAAGCTCCAAATGTAAAAATTGTAGATGAGGATTTAATTCTCGGTCTCATCAAAATAGATGTTTCCTTCAGGAATATATCCCACAATGCATAATAATACATCTTCCAAAAATTATTTTGTAATTAACATATGAACTCACTATATTATTTTAACAAAAACATTACTTGGAAGAATTTTTTTCAAGAGAAAGTAAGGTCTATAATTTGCTGAGGAAGAAAGATTAATTATTAAATAGAATAAAATGAACCATACAGCAGAATTTAAAAATATTCCTTGTGGATTTGGCATAAAATATTGGTATCCACAGTTTTATACTATGTTGTTTTGTGTGAATTCTCTGTAGGCGAAGACATGGACAACTATTTGGAAGAAAACGAGACAATATGAAAGATAGTGAAGATCTCAGGTTGTCTAGCTTTGAAATTTATATCTCTTACATTGCTTTCTTATGTCCTATTTTGTTCTGTTTTGTTGTGTTTAATTTTACCCCCTTTAAAATAAAAATTTAAAAAAAACTGACATCCACAAGGATACCTAAAATTCGTAATACACCTTTATATGAGCTTGGCAACAAGGTAATGACCCTTAACAATTTGAGTAATTAAGGTTGTTTACTTTCCAAAGAAATGTGAAGTGCCTTGAAATCACTACAAGCAAAAGATTCATATGACAGTGTCCCCCAAATTTATAATAAATTGAGATTACCAGTAATAAACTGTAAAAATAAAATTAACTTTTCTAAAATTTCAATAGTAGTTATGCTTAAAACGAAATCTGAATCCTCACTAGATACAATGTATTATAAAATTGTTTTCAAATTATAAGGAAATAAAAAATTATAAAGTTAAAAATTAAGTTTAACAGAGGTGGTTTAGATAGCTAATTAAAAATATTCTTTTTCCAAATTTATGTTTGCTACATTTTTATCTTTTCAAATTCTGCAATTTGTTGTCCTGGTTTTTTTGTCCTAAGTGAGTATCTCTATTGCTCCTTTACCCTAAAAAAGAATTGGAGAATGGATTGAGGAAAAGCAAGAGTGAAAACAGAAATTTCAGTTAGAAGGATAATTCACAGCTAATGCGTAACACTACTTATAAATATTTTCTTCACACTTAGATTTTCATGTCCTATTTAATTCTACATTCACTGTACCAGAACAAGTAATTTATATATACACAAGTCAAGCCAGTTACATGCTCTCATGGCACACCATCATCTACTTAGGGCCCAAGACATGCAAATAGAAAATTCCAAAAAGTAATTGTTACATTAAAGACATTTAGGTGCTAACAAAGGTTTGGTGAGAAGGAAAGCTAAAGAAGTAGCATTCTCTAAGGTTTACCAAATTATTTCCTTATCATTCTCTTGCCAATATCATTTACTCCATAAACACAATTTTATGGAGCATATGGACACATACAGTTTCCCTCAGTTCCTGTAGTTTTTATTGGGCACCAATCATGTAAGAATAGTATCAGCCTGCTACTTTGACACTTTTATGACACAAAATTCCATACTCCCAGTAAGAATACAGGTGTTCAGCATAAACAATTCAAGCAGCCACTTCTATCAAGTGGGTAGGACGTGGAAACTCAAAAAATTAAGTTCCAGTGCTCCAGCTTGTGGCCCGATTTGCAAGCAGGCCTTGCTAAGGATAAGAAGTCTGTCCTGTTATGAACTCTTTTTCTGCACAACTTGGCATAACGTGAACTTTATCAAACTCATAAAGTTCATGAAGTAAAATGTGACAGAAAAAATTGATATAGTTAGCAAAATCTCATTACTGTATCACAGGTTACCAGAGCTCCTCTATTTGCTGATTGATATTGCCATGTTTCACCATTAGGTGGCAGCATTACAGGATTGCCTTGGCAGGCTTCATGGTTGAATTCTAAACGATAACTGTATTTCGTTATTACTGTTATTTTACTTAGCAGAAATAGTACCACCAGCACAGTAAGTAAATAAAAAATTAATCTTGTGAGTATTGTGCATACTGGGAAGGAGGGTATGATGAGGGATGAACTTCCTTCTAACATTAAAATAATCCCTTTTTATGCTGTAGGCTTGAACATCATTTTGCTTAAGATTTCTATTTAATTAGTAACAGTTACTGGAGTTTATCCAAAGCCCCTTAAACAGAGGCCTTTTTAAAAAGTGTTTGATTTGCGTTTGGTAATTTTTAATAGAAACATATAGGTAAACATACTAATATCCTGGTTCTCAAAGTTGATATTTCACCTTATCTAGCATTGTGAAAATTTAGTTCTTGACTCCTAGAATTGACAAAGTAGCAGCCTGATACTACTCTTCCAGTTTATCTGAAGTTCACTCATTAGCACTTTTCTGTCAAAACTAAAACGTCCTTCCCTTAGGGTTTAGGTGGCACAGATTTCTCAAGGATCTTACGATTCTATAATTTGCATTAAAGTCTACCCATAAATACAATAAATTTTTAAGAAAAAATGCCTGGAACTGAGATTACACTCAGAAAACTCATAAGCACATATTGTCATGGCTTGCATCAGCATCCCCCTAAAGCCTCAGGCAGTCATAGAAGTGGCTGGATCTAGAGTGTGTGCTGGTGAAACTGATACATGGGGCAATGCAATGGTCAAGGACACTAGGATTCAGGATGTGAATGCTATCCACCTGAAGTAGTCTGGATAAGATAAAAGGGGCAAAAAGACATTGTTAGGATCCCGTGTTATCCTGCTACCTTCTGCCCATCATGCACTATTTCTCTGCCATTGCCATCTTGCCTTGGAGCCAGCCCACTGTGGACTGAAACCTCTACAAACTATGACCTAAATGAATATTTCCTCCTTTAATTTTGGGTGTCAGGGATTTTGTCTCAGCAATGAGAAAAGTAATAACGCTGGATATTTTGGAACCTAAAAATTAGAAAAATTTAAGTATTTTTTTACTCAACTTGATGCCAATTAAGTATTGGGAAAATTACTAAAATGGACAAAAGACTAGATTTTTACATTCCTAGTATAGCAATTCTAGAA